GTCCCTGGGATACGACCCTCCAAGTCGACCCTCTAGTTTAGTGTTCAAGTACACTAAATTAGTGTACTTGAACATAGGATGATAAGACTGACCTCTGGTCTGATATCTGCAAAGTGGCAAAATTCTGTAGAGAGGCCAGAGGGAACATGATCGAGGTCTTCAAGTATCAACAAGAGAGATTAGAAGTGAGTTTTGAACCTGTGTCCAAGTCAGAACCTGTATAATGGCTACCAGTCGCAGGAATTCCGATTCAGGAAGTATACAGCGAAGTGATGAATTGTCGACTGGATGATAGACGAGTGGAACAGGTTCCCGATCACCATTATATTCGTAAACATTATATCCGTTTATCAAGTCCGCTTAAACATGGACTTGATAAACATGGCAGAGAGGCGTCGGTATTAATTGATCACTTGTGGGTAACTCCACTGGTGATTGGTTTGATTGTTTTTTTAAGAGATTGTATTTATTGCTTCTAATTGGACTGTATTTTATAATTATTGTCACTAATAAACTTTCCTTCACACATTTTGGGGGTTTCATATTTAAATCTTACCATAATTAAATAGTAACTATAATTATTATTGAGTTAATGATCACAAAACTATACAAAGAACATTTAAATGGCCTCAGCTGTTTCAGTAGTGTTTACTGCTCATCACACATCAGATACTCTTGGACACGTGCACTCCTGTGAATAATGGCGTCTGTTAGGTCCTGGTGTGGCCAGCTCAACTATGACTCATGTGATCACAATTTACCTGCCAAAATAGTATATAGTAATATCTGATGACTACATTTATGTACAGGTGTTACACATGAACGTAAATTGTTATAATAATGAGGCTTACCGTAGTGGGCGTTGTCTCCCTACAGCATAACGATAAATTCCTCCACTAATAATGGCAAAACTTATGTGTAATAGAAATACCGAAAACAGATCTTCACTTATTCTGAAGTTGCGTAGTCTCAGCAGCAAATAGTGACTAATTGGAGTCACACTGCATTCTGGAACACGCTGGGAGTAGTAAATTTGTGTTGTGGGAGGCCCTCTGTCGTCGGACCCAAAGTTCACCACAACACTTAATATGGCGGCCTCTGTTTACAACAACTGCTTACTCTCCCTCCTCTCTCCCGAGGTTGTAACATTCCAGATTCGGAAGGACACTGGATTTGATGTCAAATCTATTTAATATATAATTTATTTAGTAGATCCATTTAATTGTGTAACCAGCCCTAAGTCAGGTGTGTTATATATTAAATTAGCCAAAACATTGGCTGAACTATTGTGTATGACCTTAGGTATGTAACCCCATTTTCTGTAACTTTTATATGACTAATTAATGTAAATTAACAACATTTAAGGGATGTTACATTAGAGTTTGTAAAACACGTAGAAATTTCCCACATCACCGCCCATAATGAACAAATAGTTTCGCTGTAATGATTCCTATTTTTTATGTTCTTTTATCTACTTTTGTGCATCTTTAGCTTCATTTTGTCCAACATTTTAATCTCCAGCGAGCATATGTTCACTTTCATTCACCTCTTGCATCTTTTGTTCACTTTTACACATGTCTAGCACCATTAGGGCAACTTTTTAAATCTCTTGCATCATTTTTATACACTTTTATAGTTGTCTTGCAATATTATCTCCATTTTTGGCCCTTTTATACATGCCTTGCGTCATTATGTCCACTTCCGTGCATCTACTGTTTAATTTATCGCTTTTATGCATTGCGTCATTATATATATTGCGTAATTTTATTTATTGCGTCATTTTATATATTGCGTCCTTATGTTCATCATTATAAGAAGAACATTTACAGTATTATGGTCTCGACATTTAAAATATTTAATAAAGCTTAGTATTCGTGTTTTTCTAGTGTCAGTGAATACTATTGGCTCATATATCATACATAAGATGACTGAATCATGGAATGCAAATATACTCTGGCTAAAATGATTTTGGAAATGTTATTTTATTTTTTTAAACTGAGCTTCCTTTGTAACAATACATGCTTTTAATTGTTTTCATAGTCATACTGACAGTTATTACTTTGTTGTAGTTCTACTTTAATTATCTCTCATTTTATTACTATTGTTATTGCAACAATACTTGTAAATACATATTTACTATGTATTTAATAACATGACATTGTTGCTTCTATGCCACTCTGATTTTGATAAAAAAAAGTTATTAATTGTTTTGATACATATGACTTTTCAAAAGTTTACAAGTTAATTTCCTTATTAAATTATCTAATCAATAATTCTACCATTTTTGTTTGTAATAATGATGGTCTGCATTCTTAAAGTATTTCATTGCAGCCTTTCCTAACACAGTTTGATCATACAATGAAAACTTATAATTGACAAACTTACCTTGAGACTTTCATATAACTTTATCTAACGAAGGTAGAACGAAGGAAGATAGCAAGAAAACAGAGCAAGTCGTATATGCCTGTCTGTTGAGACGGGTGTACGCCACCCTCCAAGGTTCTAACACGGTAGACGTCTAACGTAACGAAGGGGGATTAATTGAAACTGAAAAGGAAGGAAGGAACAGGAAGCGTGAAATGAGTGTTTTCAACCTCTTCATACAGCACTTGCTCTCCAAGATCTACACCTTTCCAAAAGGATTGATGCTCAAGTAGGCCACTCACACTGTCCACGACCTACATTATGGCTGCAGGACGCACCGAGGTGCTCAGACAAGCAAGGCCACGATTTTCAGTGCCTACACCATGTCAGCAGGAAGCATTTTGGCCATCTACTGTTGAACTCAAATGTTATAGGTCTGGTTATTTTGCTTTCACTCGTCACGGCGTCACAGTTAATGACTCAGAACACTTGTTTATATATAAAGTGAACGACCTCATTAGTTACCACTGGTTTCACTTATTAATATTTAATATTATTCTTAAGACGCTTTTTGTATTATCATTTTAATTTATTGATTTATTAATCACAAATAGTGTAAGTCAAATAACTCTTTCAGCTTTATCTTTTAAATTTTAAAGCATGAATGTTTAATCAAGTAAAATATTCCGTAATCAACATCCACATGATGTCCCATGGATATTCGCTCAATAAATTCGATGTTTAGTTCAAGTATACTTCAACAAATGATCGAAATATGACATTCAAATGAGTTGAGAGCTCTTGACAATTAAAAAGCAGCATTTCTAAACAAAGGTGTCTCTTATCGTGCAGGAAGGCCTTTAAGACATCAGGGATGGGGTTAAACCCAGAGGAGGTACGACTCCAGACTTCTCCTGAATTTGGATGTCGCTTCCAGACTTTGGTATTAAGGTCTGGCAACATCCATGATATACCAGAACTGGATGCTTGTTACGATAGACGTATCAGGTATGCAGAGCAAAAGTAGCCTATGTGACGGAAGCATGAGAAATTTTATGATAAATATTTCTCAATTGGTGATTTTTTAGATCTTATAATCATTTTAACCTTTACGATGATCTCTCTGTGTTCACTTCTTCTCCACACAACAACGTGATTAAAATTTAACTCCATCTACACGCCGGAATAATTCATGGTATAACTAACTGCCTCATAACATATCTTATAGCCCCATTCATGGCGTAACTCATGACCTCACTCATGATACAGCACATAGCTTCACTCACGATGTAATGCAATACGTCGCTCATGATATAACTCATCGTTTTACTCATGTCAGATCTCATGGCTTCATTCATGATATAATTCCTTAACTCACTGTATCCCTCATGGCATAACTCAGGGCCTTAATCATGAAATAACTCAGGATCTTACTCATGACATAACTCAGGATGTCATTCATGACATAACTCAGGATGTCATTCATGACATAACTCAGGATCTCACTCATGACATAACTCAGGATCTCACTCATGACATAACTCAGAATCTCGCTCATAAAAACTCCTGAACTACCTCATAACTAAACTCATAAGGTAACTATGAGGCAGCTCAAGTGCGTGTCTCCATAAATAAAGTTTTGCTGTGTGTCAGTTGTAATTGTCAAATAAATTGAAGAATCAACACAGAAGACCAATAAACAAAACCGATACCATAATTCTAAAAAAAAAAAAACGATTTGAAATTAAAATTTATTACGAAATAATAGTTCTTCAATGGCTGACGATTTTGTTGGTACGTGAAATAGGTATAAAAAAACGATAAAGTGTTTGAAATCCCAGTGAAAATATGACCGGAATGCAATGCAATGTTAATGTATATTACTATATAAATGTTATATATTATCATCGTTATCATCACAGCTTCACGGTGAGGTAGAACAGTTTCGATAGTTGTATTATTAACTCAAAACTCTATCACTCTGAAAAAAAAAGACTTTGAAACAAATTAATGGCCATAATATTCCTTATATTTTGTGCTTCAGATAATACTTGTTGTTTGCTTAAAATTGTTTATTCCATAAAGCTTGCCAGGCCGGCAGCAATATATACCCCATATGACCAGAATTTGCACTCTATCTAAAATATATTTTTGGATATGTGGTTTTGTTTCACTATTCAAGAAACGTTCAAAGATATGGACATTTTGCATCGACACATTTATGAAATATCTTGGCTCCATCTCACGTTGAACTCACAGCTTATAAAATAAGGATATAGTTTGGAAACGAATCAAGTTACATATTGAAAAAAAAATATATATATATATGTTACAGTTAGCCCCTAATAATGGGTTTACTGCAAGAGTCCCTGCTCTTTCATGTCCATTAGTTGCTTTATTATATCCTGCTGACCTACTACACAAGTACAGACTTGTGTAGCAGGTCATTCTTAAGATGTATTTTCCTGCAACCCAGTTATTTCTTGCAAAAATCTGAGTGGCCAGTGATAAACGAATGCTTTGAAAAAACTCATTTAATGTGTTTTACGTCTAAAACAGAAGAATATAATTTGATTTTGTTTTAGATCATGTTAATGTGTGTTTTGTGTCTTCGTAACTTCTATTGTCGTTTCATACTATACGAAAGGCAGGTCTCCAGGGGACCCTCCAGGGAATGGCAGGTTTCCAGGGTGCCCTCCAGGGAATGGCAGGTCTCCAGGGGGATCAATGAATGGCAGGTCTCCAGGGGGCCCTCCAGGGAATGGCAGGTCTCCAGGCGGCCCTCCAGGGAGTGGCAGGTCTCCAGGGGAATCAATGAATGGCAGGTCTCCAGGGGGATCAATGAGTGGCAGGTCTCCAGGGGGATCAATGAGTGGCAGGTCTCCAGGGGAATCAATGAATGGCAGGTCTCCAGGGGGATCAATGAGTGGCAGGTCTCCAGGGGGATCAATGAGTGGCAGGTCTCCAGGGGAATCAATGAATGGCAGGTCTCCAGGGGAATCAATGAATGGCAGGTCTCCAGGGGGATCAATGAGTGGCAGGTCTCCAGGGGGATCAATGAATGGCAGGTCTCCAGGGGGATCAATGAGTGGCAGGTCTCCAGGGGGATCAATGAGTGGCAGGTCTCCAGGGGAATCAATGAATGGCAGGTCTCCAGGGGGATCAATGAGTGGCAGGTCTCCAGGGGGATCAATGAGTGGCAGGTCTCCAGGGGGATCAATGAGTGGCAGGTCTCCAGGGGGATCAATGAATGGCAGGTCTCCAGGGGGATCAATGAGTGGCAGGTCTCCAGGGAAATCAATGAATGGCAGGTCTCCAGGGGGATCCATGAATGGCAGGTCTCCAGGGGTAATGAAATAGCAGCGTTGATCTGGTGATGGTTGAACTCGAGAAAAATGGAGTAATACCTGGAGAAGGTATTACTCCAGATGCATGGACACTAAAGATTCGAAACCTGAAATGAAAGGCCAGAGGAAACGCTGGTTGATATAATAGTTACTATCCAAATAGTTAACCCAAAAATTTCCTTTAGGAACTATCTACAACGAAGACCAGACACAACGTACCCTGTCTTCTGTTGAAGGCTGCAGCAATTCTTTGTCACCCACTGAGAGGAGCTTTCTGTTCAACTCATGGTAAAGGGAAACTACAGTTCTTGACAAAGACAAGACTAATCCCAATTTTCAAAAAAAGGGAACAGACCTGAGGCACTATATTACCGACCCAGTGACACAGATATGTATTCCGCACACAGTTCTGGAAAAATTAATCATGTTGAGAATAACTGAATACCTATACCAGATAATCAATATATTAAAAGCTCAGCATGGGTTCAGAAGGTTAATGTCATGCCTGATAAACTTGTTCGAGTTCCACGCCAACGATTATTAAAATACGACAGGAAGAAGAAGCCTGGATAGACTTTCTTTTCCTCCACTGTCAAAAACTTTTGTTATGAAACCTCAGGAAAGGCTGATGTACAACAAACATAAGATCATAAAGATGAACAAATCCACAAGGGCCTTGATGAGGGTTCGAACCTGTGCACCGGATGTTTGTTCCCTTGAGGATTTGTTCATTTGATATATCACTTTATTGTGATTTCTATGTGTAATGATGAAGATAGAAAGAAAAAAGGGACAACAGGAGGTATCTACACCATTAGGGGAAAACAACTACAGGAATCAGAAAGAAAAGTATATAGGAATGAATATAATTCCAGCACTAACACCTGAGGAACACATAAGCAGGGAATCATCAGCCGCATATGGTGTTCAGGCTGGCATTTGAACGTCATTTAGTGACCTACACCAGGAATCTTTCAATGTAATATACATAACCTTTCCTAGACACATACAGGAATATAAAGCACTAGGCTGAAATCTGCACCATGTGATACATAAAAATGAATTGTAAAAATTATAGATGTTTGGTACAAGAACAGTGCCAGTGCTTGGAGGGTGCTATGTTCTATGCTATGACGAAAGGTTAAGGGAGACTAACTTCCCAATTTTGGAGAAGGGAATAAGCAAAAGAGATATGATCACAACATACAGGATACCAAGTAAATAGTTGTAAAATGATGTCACTATAGTCTAGGAGCCACAAAAAGGGCGACCCTGGCACAAAAGTGTATTCGGCTGTTTTCACAAAATGTTTCTTAATGCCTAGGGAAGATTTCTGGCTTGCGTCCGAGATTCTGGCACGGGGATTTTTTTCCAATATGGCCGCCAATATGGCCGCCAATATGGCCGCCAACATGACCGCCATCATGACTGCCATTATGGCCGCCAATATGGCCGCCAATGTGGCCGCCAATATGGCCGCCAACATGGCCGCTAGTATTACCGTCATCTTGGCCGCCAACACGGCCGCCAACATGGCCGCCAACCTGGCCGCCAACATGACCGCCATCATGACTGCCATTATGGCCGCCAGGCCCAAATCGACTACTAAACAGAATTGTTTACAATGTGTTGGTTTCAATAGTAATATTTTGAGTTTGTGGTGTGTTCCGTTGTTGCTGCTGTTGCTACTGTTCCTGCTACTGCTGTTGCTGCTTCTCGTGCTACTGCTGCTGCTATTGCTGTTGTTGCTGCTGCTATTGATTCAGTTGATGCTGCTGCTGCTGCTGCTATTGCTGTTGTTGCTGCTGCTGCTGATTCAGTTGATGTTGCTGCTGCAGCTACTGTTGTTGTTGCTGCTGGCAAGGTTGCTGCTATCGCTGCTAATGTTGTTGTTGTTGTTGCTGCTGTTGCTGTTGTTGTTGTTGTTTTTGTTGTTTTTGCTGCTTTTGCTACTGCTGCTGCTACTGCTGTTGCTGCTGCTGGTACTGTTGTTACTGCTGTATATGTTCTTGCTATTGCCGTTCCTGCAGTTGCTATTGTTGCCATAGATGCTGCTGCTGCTGCTGCTGCTGCTGTTCCATCGTTAGTTTCAAGCTGTTCTTCTTTGACACACTACACCACATATAGTTCTCACCCTGATTAAATAAATATATTCGAACATTAATAGAGCTTGAGAGAAAAATCTACTGCTGAAGTCTATATAAGTTTAGATGATATATATACATTGTGTTACGCACTGGCCAGTATTTTCCTCCATTGTTAGTTTAGATCTGTGTACCATGTATATTTGATGTGGTGTTTACATCAAAACACTGTGCGGTCCATGCTGCAAGATTGCATCAATGTTTAGTTGAGTTGTGTTACGGACCCGAGTCCAGCGTCGTAGCACGGAGCTGTGACGACCACGCCATCTGTGGGTCAGCTCCCGAAACCCCCTCCAAATGGACGATGCCATCTAGTGAGGACGAGATATACCGGCCACAGGGGCTGGTTTCCCGCCTTAATCAGCTTGTGACATAGACGCTGCTGACCTCTGGTGAGGTGGCGCTTAGACAGCAACGCCATCCATGAAGTGGATAGGTGGGCGTTTGTGTCTAAGCCTGTAAGTGAGGTGCCCTAAGAGAGTACCCAGTACTAATGGCGTGTCTGATTACAGAGTCGACCTGGGACTGCTGAATCAGACAGTGGATCAGTCTACCCAAGGCAGCCATAGTCTTTCCATGTGTTTGCTGCAGAAGCTGTGAGTTGCTCCTGGACGTACACTGCTGAGAGTGTTAGCCTGCCTGTGACGTGGCAGAGCTGAGGAATCGTCGTACCCAGGGGTTGACTGGTGGAAGAGACTAGCCACTGTGGTGCTATATAGAGGAGAGTGATCAGCGGGATCACACGAGGCTCCTGCCTAGGGCTCGCATCCCTAGTATCGGTCGTGGAGGGGCCTACGCAGCGGAGCTGATTGGAACCTCCCAGCTACAGGCTGGATTTGTGGTTGAAGGCCTCCATGACGGTGCACCCAGTGGGACTGTGATTTGGCTGGCCTGTGGCCAGGGTAGATTCGTCAAGGGAATCGAAGGATTTATCGTGAGGCCACAAGAAGAGAACCAGGGCTACACGTCTTGAGCACCGTAGAGCATCCTGTGTCTTCAGAGGAAGACAAGTTAATGTACATAAGTGTAGTTATAGACCCAGCGAGTGACTGTGAGATATTTATTTATGGTGGTGGAATATATATATATTTAAATTAGTGCATTTTTATCCCTTCCCCTTTAATTTACTTGCGTTACGGAACACACCCCTTGAAAGCCACTACTAACTTGGGGCCGGATACCCAAACTCTAATAACATCAGAGAAGAACCCCAGTTGCGACCCAATAGGGCCGTAACAAGTTGCAGCATGTTGCACGGGAACACTGTTGATGTTTATCGCGTCCGGTTGAACTGGTGCTGTGGGTTGGTACTGGTGCATGAACTGGTGCTGTGGGCTGGTGCTGGTTCATGAACTGGTGCTGTGGGCTGGTGCTGGTGCTGGTGCTTGTGCGGGTGTTGTGGTCTGGTGCTGGTGCTTGAACTGGTGCTGTGGGCTAGTGCTGTGGGCTAGTGCTGTGAGCTGGTGCTGGTGCTGTGGGGTGGTGCTGTTGCTTGAACTGGTGCTGTGGGGTGGTGCTGTTGCTTGAACTGGTGCTGTGGGGTGGTGCTGTTGCTGTGGGCTGTTGCTGTGGGCTGTTGCTGTGGGCTGGTGCTGTGAACTGGTGCTGTTGCTGTGGGCTGGTGCTGTTGCTGTGGGCTGTTGCTGTGAACTGGTGCTGTGGGCTGGTGCTTGTGCTGGTGCTTGTGCTGGTGCTTGTGCTGGTGCTTGTGCTGTTGGCTGGTCCTGGTGGTGGGTGCGTGCCAACACGGGCTGTGTCACGCCTGATGTGGCACTATACATGCTGCATGTGTCCGTGTGTTACTGGATCACCGGGAACGCTTATACCTGCTTGTGTAGCCTATTTCACTACATTGCCGAATAGGGTAAATGGGGTGGGTACTTTTAATTGGTGCTGTTATTGGCTTCGGTTTAGATTTGTCTCTTATATTACGCTCCTTAATGGGTCTGTTTAGATTGTGTTTTAATTGTACGTTAACTTTATTTAATTTACCTCTTCCACTAAACTGGCACCTTGGGTGAACTGGTGAACTAAGGCGCCTCAATAATCAGACCGCCACTTGAAATAAATGTCATTACAAAGTGTCTCGGCTGCAACAGACTTGGCGCTAACTGAGCCACTAAACTGCCCAAACTTTCAATCACAAAAGTTACTAAAAACACAAGTTTCGACCACGTCGTGGCCTGGTTGTCTGAGGCGTGTGTCCCTTGTTTCTTCTTTACTAATGTGATTTACATTTGATATATGAATTATTTTTGTTCTTTTGATCAGAAGACCAATAATTATTGAATTTTCGAATTATTATTAATGATGATATTAGTATTACCATTTTTATTATATTTAAATTTTTTTACTATAAATGAAATTATGATTATTATTATTATTATTATTATTTGTATTACTGAACAAATCTACAGGAGCCGTGATGAGGATTCGAACCTATGCAGTGGGTGTTCCCCCATACACGCCCCAGACAACCAGGCCACGACGTGGTCAAAATATTTTTTGGTGGCAGTATACCACCTTGATATACCATATGGCTGTTTGGTATATCAAGGTGGCAGCCTAGTGGCAGAGATAGACAGTCTGCAAGGACACCGTGTTGCAGAGAAGGCGTGGGGCTCCCCTTCACTGATTGCTGACCTGCAGTCTGTGGCAGGTAGACTGGATCAACCTAACTCGTGTAGCAGGAGAGTGGCACATCAACATAGGTACCTCCCGCCTGTCTCTCTAAGTACATTGTTGACGGGGAAAAAGATCGCTGCAGTTTTGCTCTGGACCAGAGCAATTGCAAAGGGTCCAATTAGAATGAAGTCTTTAATGCCGACCAACGTAAGA